TTCCAAAGAAAGGTGACCCAACTGAGTGTGAAAACTACAGAACAGTGTCATTGATTTCACATGCAAGCAAGATTCTACTGAAGATTATGCAAAAATGAATAGAACAGCACATCAGCAGAGAACTGCCGGAACTTCCTAGTAGGTATGTCTCCTTAAGTCAATCACTGGGGCATCTAGCAAGCGATGGTGCGAACTAACTGATCAAAGAGATCTCTTCTGGCTTCAAGACTTTAACTATTAGAAGGCCTAGTCTAAAAGCAAATAAAGGATTTTCACAGATGGAATTGTGTCCCTCCAAAATACATGTATGCAACAGGGAGCTTCGGTGGTGAGGTGTGTTAGGTGTTGGGCTGAAAAGTCAGGAGTTTGAATCCACCAACTTCTGCAGGAGAGAAGGGTGGGCTGCCTCTTCTCTTAAAGGTTTACAGCCTCAGAAACTCAGTGAACTGTTGCTAAGAGTCAGCATCTATTGGATGGCCATGGGCTTGGTCTGCTCTTCAATGATGTAATAAAGAAGCTTTGTACTGATTGTCTTATCGTCTGATAAGCTGAGCAGTTAAATGAGGATTAAGAGTGGGATCTAACACCCTTCATTTCATCACGGCCCTGCTCCACAGTAAGGAGGTGGCTTGTAACATCTTATCTCTCTAGAGATGACAGGAGAGAAAAAGCGGACAGAGGGCAAAGATCTCAGAGCCACCAAGATAGAATGGCCGGGAGTGGAGTGTGTTGCCTGCACTCACTGGGAATCTGTCTGACAAAAGAGAAGACCAAGATATGCAGAGAACCAAGAAACACTGGCCTACAGATGCTGAAGGAAATGAGGAGAGAGAGAGAGAGAGAGAGGGAGAGAATGTACCATCCCCTAAAGCTGGCCCCTGAATTTGGACTTCTATATTCCTAAACTGTAAGAGAATAAATTGTTGTTGGTTAAAGCCTTCCACTTATAACAGCAGTAGCTAAGTAGGACAAATATGTTCTTGTTTAGGCGCTGCCAGTCTCAGTAACTGTCTGGTTTGGGTTGGATCAAGGTGGCCTAGTGGTGCAATGGCTAAGTGTTGGGTTGTTTATGGAACAAATCAGTGGGTAGGACCCAGGGGAGAGAAATGAGGCAGTCTGCTTCCATGAAGATTCACAGCCTTGGACATCCTGTGAGGTGGCTTCACTCTATCCTTTTGGATCTCTATGAGCTAGAATCAACCTGATATCATTGGGTTTAGTTTTGTAAAAATTCTGGCTGGGTAGCTGGCACATGAGAGGAAAGGTCAGCTGTACAGTGGCTCTTCTCCGTGAACCACATGAGGGCACGTGTGACAGAAATGACCATCATTCCTGGGCACTGGCTCTTCCTCCATCTCCTACATCAGTAGACTCACTCGATCTTTTTACCTCCAGAGGTCAGTAACAATGACGAGGTTAACATTTATTGTTTACCTGAGAGCATCTAGTTCACCCAACCATCCATTTAGTTCTGAGTTCCATTTAGTCAATGAGGAAACGGAAGCCAGAAGGGTTGAGTAATTTGCCCAAGGTACTAGATTTTGTGAGTAGACACAGGAAATATGATTCTGGAGTCTGGGAGCATAACGACACATTCCCAGTTAATAATGTTGAGTTGAGGTCTCTTGGGCCTCTCCAGCTCAGAGAGGGGACACAGGTGCCTGCACTGGGAAAATGTTAGGAAGTTCTTTCTCCTCCACACTCTTTTAAGTCTTATGTGCTGTCAAATCTTGGACTCAGGAATTAAAAAACTTGACCTCACTGCTACTGAGTCAGCTCTGACTCACAGACACCCTCCATTGAGTTTCCGAGGCAGGAAATTGTAACGGAAGGAAAATGTGTATCTTTGTCTTGAGGAACAGCTGGTGGTGCAGTGCTTAGTGAGCAGTCCTGTTAACCCAGAGGCCACAGGTCTCCAATGGTTCAAATCCACCAGCAGCTCGGAGGGAAAAAGATGGGACATCTACTCCCATTGTGATTTATAACCCTGGAAACCCAATGGAGGGATTTCCCTATGAGTCAGAATTGATTTAACAACACTGAGCTTTGAGTTGAGAACCTGAGGAGAAGGTGAGGAAAAGGGGGGGAGGGATGAGTAAGTATTGAACTCTGGTAATCTAGTGGTGAGAAGCCATGCTGCCATCCCAAAGGCACACAATTTGAGGCCAACTAGCTGCTCCATGGGAGAAGGATGAGCAGTCTCCTCTAGGGAGATTAAATGCCTCTGAAAACCCACAGAAGGGTCGCTATGGGTCGGTTCTGACTACAGTACACAACTCCATCACAACCAAATAGGTAACAGACTCATATTACGATAGGTGAAGAGAAACAATACACAATAAGGGGATGATAAATACAATATCATTAAAGAAAGGGAATACAGGAGATGCACAAATAGGAAATGTGGTTACAATGTGGGAATGGTAATCAATGTCATAAAGCAAAATATGTATGAATGGCTGCATGGAAAACCAACTGCTTTGTAAACATTCACACAAACCATACACACACGCACCCATATGTGTAAAGAAACAAGTAATTCGTATGTTTGCGTGCACACACGCACATGTGTGCATGTATATACACAAAGGGATCCTGGTGGTACAGTGTGTGACATGCTGAACTGCTAACCCAGAGGTTAATGGTTCAAATATACCAACTGCTCTATGGTATCAGAGGAAATGGGAAGTCTCCTTCCTTAAGATTTACAGCCTTGGAAACCTAATGGAGTATCACTATCAGTACCAATGGATGTGATGGCAGTAGGTTTTATATTTGTGTGTATATGTTTTGTGTGCACAGAAAGAGATACAGAGGGAAGGAGTAATAAAATTATCAAGATGATTCCTTAGATAGCTAACAAATTTAAACATCTCAACCATCATTCATACACTTGGCTCAGATGATTTTCTTGCTGCCCATAGGAGTGTGGGAAATTGGTATAGAAGTAAAAATGGAAAAGAGAAGAAAAAGCAGATACTGAGTTGTAAGCCTATTTAAGAATGGAAAGACGTAGGTTTCAACAGCCCAAATGACAACTCAGTGGTGACCTTAAAAACTCTAGCTCTGCCAGCAACTTACCTTATTTAGGAAGAACAAGTCCCGCTTGCTCTTGAGGTAGTTGGAGAGGTTGCCATACTTGCAGTATTCCACAATCACCATCAGAGGACCTGCAGCCAAAATAGCATGTGCTCAGCACACCAAGCCCATCAGCCGTTTGTCAACCTGAAAGAACTCAAGTCAACAGTCTATGATATCCTGGGGGTGGGATGGGAGGAGAAGGCACTAGGCATGCAGTTTAGAGATGAGAGGTTCATGAGTTGGGTAGCTATTTCAGTTTAACCTGACTTCCCAAGATTTAAGAAGCCAAGGTGCCCACTACATTATGCTTTGGGCTGCTAATCAAAAGGAAGGCAGATGGAATACAATCAGCCTCTCTGGGGGAGAGTGTAACTCAATGGAAAATCACTACGAGTCTGGACACTAGGGTAGTGAGTGGATGGATGGTCTTTAAAAAAATTTACAAAAGAAAGAGGAGTTACTGTATTGGGGGTGGGAGGAAGGATAAGGAGGGCTGAGAAAGAAAAGATGAAAAATGAAGTACGTTTAGGGCGAAAAGGCAAATGATGGAGCTTGTTACTGGAATTACCCACCCTCTCTGCCTCTTAGCTCGATCCCTGGTGCAAAGGGGCCTCTCTGGTCACTGTCACATCAGCCTAAGCGCTGACAAGCTGCTCCAACTGCCCTGCCCTGTGCATGAGAGAATAGGCCAGTCAGGTCTGACCTTTTTCCAGGGGGATCTGGCTGCCTTGGGGTGTCTGCAGAGAGTCTGCTTGTGATAGGATCTAAAGCTGGGTGTACACTTTGTCTGTAAATACCTGACAGGCCTATTGTAGGCTTCATGGGCCATGCAACTAACTCCCTAGTACAGCCTTTGGAGGGTGAAGGCAGCCGTAAAGCATGTAATTGAATGAGCAAGCCAGGGTGCCATTAAAACTTTATGGAGAAGAAAAGTTGAATTTCCTATCATTTTCACCTGATTAAAAAAAAAAGTGTGGGTTTTTTTTTTTTAATTTCTCTCTCATGACTATCTAAACGCATCACACCGTTCTAAAGTCAGATAGACCCTAGCTTTGCTGACTCCTGTTCTAGAAGAATCAAGAGAGGCGGGAGGAAGTCTCGGGCACAATGGGGGTCCTAGGAGGTGCCTTGGGCTCTTTCTCCCTGCCCCACTTCTCAGGTGGTCGCCTGCTGCCTTTAATGGGATTGGGAGAACCCTGGCCACACACCCCACCTTCAGCACATACAGTCTTCAGGTGAGGGAGCTTGAAGGACAACTTCTCGGCTCCTGCCCCAGCACACACCAGGAGTGGTTTACAAGGATAAAGGGCTTCAGATATTGGAGGCTCCCGGGGATTGTCTTTTCTCAACAGAATGAGAATGGTTTTTTGTTCCTATTAGGATTTTAAGTGGCGGCTTAGTGGGTAAGGAGTTGCGCTGCCAACCCAAAGGTAAACAGTTTGAGTCCACCAGCTGCTCCAAGGGAAACAGATGGACAGTGAACTCCTGTGCGATCTATAGCCTCTCAAAACCTGCTGGAGGGGTCAGCAATGGCTCGGTTCCACCACAGTGGTACACAACAAATGGTAGTGTGCTGCCAGCTGAAAAGGTCAGCAGTTCAAAGCCACCAGCTTCTCTGCAGTCTCCTCCTATAAGGATTCACCAACTCGAAAATCTGATGGAGGACCCTTACGAGTTGGACTCGTCAGCAGGCATTCTTAGGATTTTGCGATTTTAAAGTAGATTTTTAGAAATATTCACTGTGCCTCTTTCTCCAGAACTCCGACAGACCTCATGCCTAATGGAAAGGAAGTGGCCTCCAGGGAACCCTATCTTCCACAACAGAGAGGAGGCTTCTGCAGCCCTGGAAGCCCCTCCATCCTCACTCAGCTCACAGAAGCCCCTTTGTCAGTTTAGACATGCAAAAACGAAGCAGTAAGGCTGCTGAGGTAGAAAACTCGAGAAGGGCTGGCACTTCTGCCCTCAGGAGTCAGGAAAAACCCTAGTCTGGTTCCCAGGACTCTACTCCTATTCTCTCATCTCCCCTTCTGACAGGTGGGCTCGACCTCCCCACCTACCCCTCACCCCCCAATTCCTTCAACCTGTTCTTATAGGATGACTGGGATGGGCACTGTTTCCCTATGCTGTTCACTGAGTCAGTGTGTGTGTGTGGACAGGCTGGAGGACACTCAACGACAGAACGCTGGCATTTCTCAGCATTTCCTCTTCCCTCTCTGGGGCCACCAGTAATCATACAACTGTGCACAGGTTCTAGCCCCACCACGGGGAGGGAAGCCAGATCCTGCTCCAGCCCTGGAACCCATGTGCATTGGGGGGTATGAAAAGACCCTCCTCTGGTTGACCCCTGTATTAACTCTTTCTGGAATGCCCCCCAGGAATGATTAATTCCTAGGTCCTTCTAGGCCTTGCACTGGTCACACTCCATTAGAGTCATCCTGAGAGAAGAGATTCATTCCCTTCCCCTCCACATATACCCTAGAGCCTATGGAAAGAGATCTACAAGGGAGTACCTGCCTTCGGGACCTCCAGGTTAACTGTACACTGTCATCAAGTTGGTTCTGACAGCGACCCTCCTTCTGGTTTCTGAGGCTGTAAATCTTTACGGAGGAAACTGTGTCATCTTTCTCAAGTACAGTGGATGGAGGTTTTGAACTGCCAGCCTTTCAACTAGCAGCCTGACGCATTAGGCAGCCCCTCCCACTAGAGCTCCTTAAGTTAACTCGTCAGGGAAGATGCTTTCTAGTATGAGTCCCTTGTTAGTGGAAAGACTGCTCTGCAAGCTGCTGTGGGGAGATAAGGAGAAAGAGAGGAGAAAAGACAGCAGGGGACCTGTCCTCATGCAGGTGGGCAGATGGCACAGCTCCTCTTTACCTCCTTGCTTGGTGCAGGCTCCCAGCAGGTTGACCACATTCAAGTGGTGGCCAATGTGAGTCAGGATCTTGAGCTCAGTCATCAGAGCTTTGTACTCACTGGCGGTGGCCCCCTCTGTGTGAGAAGCAAGGAAGGATCAGGGCAACAGGACAATGGGGCTCCTTCCTCCGGAGGTGGCTGTGCCTGCCCGCCCTGTTTGTCAGCACTCCCCTGGCTGCTCCATTAACTTCCCCACATTCTGCTGTGAGGCCCCAAGGCCTGGCCTCAGACTGTTTTCATTACCCCCACCCTTCTAGAGCAATATCCTTCTGATTACAGTAGGGCTCTGAGCTGTAGAGGGTTAGTCACTGGACGCTTACTCTGAGTGGGCCTAGTCTCGCTCAGCAATGAGCTGGCACCTTAAGAAAGGCCTCCACAGCCTACCCTGCTGGGCCTGGCACGGAGGGGATGCTCCAGCAGGGGGCGCCCCACACCACCCCTCCAAGTTGCTCTCTTCTTTGGGGGTCCCAGAGAAGGAGCACCAAGGGCCTGCAGGGCGTGTGGCCACTTCTATAAACATCTGTGCATGGTGTCATTTTGCCCCTTTAACCTTCTTCTCCCCAGAGTCCAGGGGTTATCTTGGGTTGTGATGACTCTGAGGCATTTGACTTCAGCCTCTCTCAGAGATAAGCCGCATCAGGCCAGAAATTAGCAGAGCCTGAACTTTGTTCTGTCTCTGGTCCTGAGGCTTTGCTTCTCACTCATCCGAAATTCTAAAATTCTTCTCAGGTTATAAGCAGGTCATATGTGAGAATGTCACAGAGTTTCTACTTTCTGTAGAAAGCACTACTTAGAAGCTGTCCGGTGACAATCTTGTCTACTCTGTAACCTTTCCCCTTAACACAACACGATGAGATGCAGAAAAAATATATTTAAACTTTAAAAGTGACTTAATATACTGCTGCAAAATCATCTAACACCATGATAATATATATATACTTATAATACAAAGTTAAAAGTTATCCCAACACATTGGCCTTCCTAGAGGTAATCACAATAATTCCAGACTCTTTTCTAAGACTATATATACACATATACACATATATGTCGCTTGAGAAGGAAGGGTGGGCATTCTACTCCCTTGACATTAACTGCCTCTGAAAATCTGCTGGAGGGTCAGCTATGGGTCGGTTCAGACTTGATGGCACACAACAACTAATATATATATATATATATATATACCAAAACAAAGGTCAAGGTCTCTATTTTAGTTTACATAAATATTGTGCATGTGCATAGGGAGCTCTGGTGGTATAGATTGGTACTGTCTCTAGGAAGTTGTACTTCTAACCTAAAGGTGAACAGTTTGAATCCATCAGTGGCTCTGACGAAGAAAAATGGGCGGTCTCCTCTTCTGTGATTTATAGCTTATGAAAACCAGATGGAGGGTCCTGTGAGTTGGTTCCGACTCAACAACAATGAGTTAAAATATACATCCAGTTTTTCAACTCAACTCAGTGCTATCAGGTCAGAAGTGACTTAACTGACACGTCTTCATTGTGTTTCTGAGACGTATACTGCATGGGCAGAGATAGCCCATCTTTCTCTTGAGGAGCAGATGGTGCATTCAAGCTGCCAGGGAGGCATGGCATTCAGGTTATAGCACCATTTCCTACAGACTGTACTTCCACCAGAGCTCTTTATATCTGATTTGTTGTTATGTGCCATCGAGTCACCTGCTCCTCATAGCAACCCTAAACCCTGCTCTATCCTGTACCAATCTCACTGCCTCCGACACACCTACCCCCATCACCCTAGTCACTGAATAACTTTGATTAAATTTTATATATAAGGAGCCTGGCTGGCATAGTTAGTTATGTGTTGGGCTTTTAACCCAGAGGCTGGTAATTTCAATCCACTAGCTGCTCAGAGGGAGAAAGATGGGAGACTACTCCCAAAAAGATTTATAGTTTCATAAATCTCATAGAGAGTTGCTATGCACTGGAATTGACATTTACTGCAGTGGGTTTGGTTTGGTGATCTATGTATTTTTTTAATGAGCATTTAAATTTACTAACATACATAATGCAACCCAACCCACAGCCACTGAGTTGGAGAAAGTGAAATAGACTTGAAACATTCACTTGAAGAAGATCAAAGACCACAGCCTTCAATACACATTAAATCTCAACATGAAGAAAACAAAAATCCTCCCTGCTAGACCAAGAGGTAGAATCTGATAGATGGAGATAAGATTAAAGTTGTCAATGATTTCATTTTACTTGGTTCCATGGCAGTGTTGTTGCTGTTGTCGTTAGGTGCCACCGAGTTGAGTATGAGTCATAGAGATCCTGTGAACAACAGATCTGAATCTTGTCCTATCCTGTGCCATCCTCACCATGTCTTATATGCTTGAGCCCATTGGTTTACTGATACAGGCATTTTTAATCTTTTTTTTATTGTGAGTTGAGTGAAAGTTCATAAAGCAAATTGATTTTCCCTTCAAAAGCTTATATACATTTTATCTTTGTAAAACTGATTAAAATCTCTCGCTTGTCACAGCATTCTTCCTATTTCCTTCCTGTGTTTCCCGTTTCCATTTGTCCTTCTGTCCTATTCCTTCCTGCTGTCTGAGCTTTTTTCCTGAGCCAAATATGCCCTTTTTGTGTATTTTTTTTTAAAAAACCTGCCCCACTAACTCCAGCTCCCTTTTCAGTGTCTTAGAGCTTTCCCCCATTCTTTTAAATTTAGGATTTGGATTCTGCTATTTTGTTAGTCTACAAGTTTTTCCTGTTAATGTAGAAGATTGTTTTTGTTTTGTTTAGCTTCTGTGCACCCTTGCAAGGATTTATGTCAGAAAGGCACAGTCCTGGGAGTAGGACAGAGGTATTCTCATTGCAAAATATCATAAGTGCTTATGTGCTGTTTCATAAACACACCTTGCTTTTCAAGAAATACCAAATAAACTCCAGCCATTTTCCCAGGGGACTGAGGTGGGCTCACAATTAGTGCCCAGCAAGGATTTGTTGGAGAAATAAACAACGGATTACACTTGCACGTCTCCTTCAGACCTGGATGTAAGGCCCACAAAGGTTAGGGTTCTGAAATGGCATCAGCCACTTGATGACCTTTTCTGGACATTCTTCCTTTTTCTGTTTCTCCTTGAAACAGATGGTCAACCAATTCAAGCAAGAAAGCAGAGTGAAAATAGTTCTATAGGAATTTTATACAGTGGGAATTTGGTGGTCCTTTTCAATTTACGTAATGGCTTAAAAAGGCATTTATAAAATGACTACACATTTTATTTTTGTGGGACATAAAATATCCTTTGGACTATAAAGAAACCCCAACACCCAAAAACCCCCAAAACAAAACCAAACTCAATCTCCTTTCAAAGTTCTCAGATGCTCATTAACCATAAAGGGAGGTCCTCCAGTGGCTGAGTCTGTAGGGATTACACTGCTAACCCAAAGGCTGAACTTCTCTGGCAGTTTGAATCCACCAGCAGCTTTTTGGGAGAAGGATGGGCAATCTCCTCCCATGCAATTCTCAGCCTCTGAAACCCAGATAAAGAAAGATCAGCTATGAGTTGGTTCTAACTTGCTGGCAATGAGTCATATTGAACCATAAGGAAAACCTAAGCTCTCTTACTGAGACTTGTGCCATGCAGAGGATCACGGGAAGCACAGGTAGACCAGCATGGTCATCAGAAGTGCTGCTTCTAGGGACAGGGCAGTGGGAGTGAGCAGGGAATAGGCACTACCTGAGGAAACTGTAGGATGGATCCTGGATTATCTCCATAAAGCAGAGCAGGATTATTTTTAAGACTTCAGAGCAGCAGCTCCTCCCAGGCCCTTCTGTTATGGCACAGTGGTGTACTAAAGGGGCCCTGGTTTTCCTTTAGTGGGTAAGCAACTGTCAACAAGTGAAAGGCTGGTGGCTTAAACTCACCAGGTTTATTGTAGGAGAAAGACAAGGCAGTCTGCTTCTGGAAAGATTTACAGCCTTGGAAACCCTACAGGGCAGTTCCACTCTGTTGTTGTGAATTGTAATCAATTCGGTAGCAATAATTGTGTTATTTTGGTGATGTGATGGAAAGAACACTGGGCTCACCGCTGGAAGTCTCGTACCAAACCTGGACATTTGCACTGAGGAGCTGTGTGGCCTTGGAGCTGCTGTTGCGTCTTTCTGGGCCATGGTTTCTCATGCACAAAACTCAATACTCGAACTCACTGCTGTTGCATTGGTTTCGACCCACAGTAAACCTCCACTGGGTTTCCAAGGCTGTAAGTCTCAATGGGAGGAGACTATTCAGCTCTCTTCCTTGGAGCAGCTAGTGGTTTCAAACTACCAGAGACATAGCCATTTGGTTAGGAGTGCAACACCCTGCAGACTTCCTGTCCTCACAAGGACGCTGAGAGAAAACAAAAGGGTCCTCTCCATGAAGTTCATCCCGACCCTTGGAAGTCCCCAGCTTGGTGCTTTCTCATGTGGGAGATGTGCAGAGGCTGCTTCTCTTCAGAATTTGGTTGGGGATTGCAGAAGGGCTGAAATGAGCTTCCATATCGGGATAATCCACCGTGAACAGAGTCCTTACCTGTGGATGGAAACCTTCCTTCCTGGCTACTTTCAGAGAAGAACTGTCAGAATCTTCGCAGAGTTTTTATCAGAGCCTTTCTTTGATCAAGATAGTCTTTTGATGCGGAAAACCACATTCCTCAGGGTTTTGGAAATGATGGTGTCAGTTCGGGAAGGAGATTAAGAACTTGGAAGTCTTCCAACAGAAACGGAATTTTCTCCTAGTGGCTATGCTGAGGACTCCCTTCCCCAGGCCAATGGCCTTCCAGACCTCAGAATCCCTGGCCATATTCTGGAGACTTTGAAGAGCTGAAAATTTCTCTTTGGGCCTTTTGTCCTGTTTCTTCTTCTTAGTTTTGGGACTTTAAAGCAAGGTAAAGTCATGAAATTCCATCACAAATGAGGTCATGAAGTCTTTTCCTACCCTTTCAAGGACACAGGAGGGCTTCAGAGTGGTAGTATCTTTTAACACTAGAGAGAGTCAAGTTTTCTTTCTAATTTCTAAAGAGGATATGTTTTATGTTTGGGGCTTGACAGTATATATAACTTAATTGGTCTAGCTTCACTTCATAGCTAGGTCAAATCCCAGCTAAGCCTTGGAGATGTGTCATGTGCTGCAAATTTCCATTACAGAGTCCCAGCAGAGCACTCCACAATTTCAATAGGCTTAAATCTCTGGTAGTCTAGAATCTGACATGTGGGAGGAAAAATACCTTTGAGGTGACAGAAAACATTTCTCCTGTGACAATACTACTGTTGTTGTTAGGTGCCACTCAGTCGGCTGACTCATAGCAGCCCTGTGCTTGGTCTTTCCAACCCTGCTCCATCCTCATGAGTTCTGCTGTGATCCCACCCATCATTCCAGTCGCTGTGCCCCCCATCTCATTGAGGGCCTTCCTCTTTCTCACTGGCTCTAACTTTTCCAAGCATGACATCTTTTTTCCTAGGGGCTGGTCCCTCCTGATAACATGTCCAAAGTATGTGAGAGAGAGCCTCACTATCATTGCTAGGGCACTCTGGCTTCTTTGTTTTTCCAGCAGTCCATGGTATATTGAGTATTCTTTGCCAACATCACATTTCGAAGGTATCGGTTCTCCTTGGGTCTTCCTTATACATTGTCCAACTTTCACATGCATATGAAGCTCATGACAAGATCACAGCTTGTGCCAGGTGCAACTTAATCTTTAAAGTGCCATCTTTGCTCTCTAGCTCTTTAAAGAAGTCCTTGGCAACAGATTTGCTAGGTCAGTGCTAGGATGTTCTATTTACAAAGTTTCTTCTGAACTATGCTGGCCTAAACCTCCTGAAGCAAAGGTAGAACCAGCAGTAGAAGAAAGTTACATGGCCAGAGTAGAAACAGTGGTTCTGTCCCCACGCCATCTCCAATAGGCTTGAACATTTAGGGAATGCAAGAATGTGAAGGCTCAGGTGAAGGCCAACTGTAGCATACGTACCTTTCAGCATCTTCACAGCCACTGTCCGGCATGTGGGTGATTTCTTAATGCCAAATGCAGATGCTTGGACCACTTTTCCAAAAGCCCCTCGTCCCAGTGATTTACCTGCAATGAGAGGAAAACACTGGTTTCTATGAGAAGATAACAGTGCTTTATATCTAAAGGCTATAGGGTGAGTTTAACTCTTTTTTCAGGAAATAAATGTTTTTCCCTATGTGTGTATATGAGACATTGAACTTTGTCATTTCTAACAAGCTGACCTCACCCGAGTAAATAAATGTCCAGGACATTTCTTCCATTTCCACTGGACATCCTCTACAGCCACAGTGGCCCTCTGAAGGCATCTGGTGCTGGCAGATGACCATGCTCCTATTCATGGTTCAAAGTTACCCATTCCTAGGTTACTACTGCTCTGCTTTAGTAACATCATTATCAAGCCTGAATTTAGTCTACACTTCTTTTCTTGCTACTGAAGATCATTTCTTCTGATCTCTTTTTAGCAAAGAAGGAGAACTAAAGAATGGTAGCTACAATTGTTAGTTATAATAATAATTCATACCTTAAAAACCATCATTTCCTTTCTTGCCAGGCAAAATATTCCTAGTCTTTTTTAGACATCTCTTGACATCATTGTTGTCAGACATCAGTCACTGGTAGTGATTTATTTCAATCAATAAGAGGTGGAGGCCAAAGGCAATAAGCACCCAAAGATTCCTTCATGCCACCTTGAAACCACAGTACATTATGTTTTGCTGTGATGACTCTTAACCCTGGCATGCGATAGGCTGACTCAGAGGGGACGAACCACGCACTAACCTTTCAAGTGACTAGCCCAGTGCCTGGCATGCTGAAAGCCCTCTGTATATTAATGCAGACTGGGAACTTAATATAGTCATAGGTAACTAGAAGGGTCATGGCATTGAGAGGTTAAGACTGATGCCCTCAGGCAGCCTGCTCCCTGGGATACTGCAGCAACCGTTCAGTCAGGGACTACTTTTGCACCCTCAGGAAACAGGACGCTAATGTGAGCCTAGAGAAAGAGCAGTTCGAGTATATGACAGAAGGAGGAGTGAGCCAAAGAAGTCACGGTTTTCTAGCTCTTCTGGGGGAAACTACAAAACTATACCAAGCCAAACACGTAACTGATCAAAAGTAGTCTCAGCAGTTAAGAGTGTTAACATAACAGTCCCTCCTCTCCCAGCCAAGCCTCTTTCTCAGACCGGGCCTTCACTTAATTAACCTGACTTCCTTCCTTCCTTCCTCATGCTCCAATCTCTCCTCACAAAGGGCATAGTTGTGTTGGGGTGGTTTTTAATTTTTTTTCATGTTTCTTGTTCAGTTTTTAAAGCTTTCCTGCTTTAAACTTTTATAAGCAACTACTCAGTAACCAAAGAACCCAGATGGCATGATGGTTAAGTGTTCTGTGACTAACCAAAAAGTAGGCAGTTCTAACCTACCAACTGATCCAGGAGAGAAAGATGAGACAGTCATCTTCTGTAAAGATTTCAGCTTTGGGAAAACTTTGGGAAGTTTTCCCCTTTGGGAAAAGGGGGAAGTTCTGTCCTGTTCTATGGAGTCACCGGAAGTCAGAACTGCCTCGATAGCAATGGGTTTGTAGGATCCATTAACAAAGATGTCTTCACCATGGTCTCTGTTTTGAATCTTCCATTAACAATCACCCGAGACAGGGATAAATTACTAATGTAATCATCTCTCCCTCACGCTTCATTGTCATCGAGTGAGAACTAGCTCATAGCTGACTCTTCTGCAGTGTTTGGAGGCTGTAAATAACACAGGAGGAAACTTCCCATCTTTCTGCCCTGGAGCCACTGGTGGATCTAAACACCAGAGAAGCGCTGCCTCTCCCTACGGAATACAGTACCCCACGGCGCCAGTGCTCCTCAGTGAAATCTTAGTAGCCTTTAATTATTGTGTCTGTGCATAATCCAGGCAGCCCCTGGATTATGAATGAGTTCTATTCCTAAATCTGTCTTTAAATTGAATTTGTACATAAATTGGAACACCTGGGTACGGTTTAGATCTAATGTCACTTAGTCAAATATTTGTCTTAGTATATACAGTTTATGTTGTTGTGTGTCATCAAGTTGGAATTGACTCATGGCTAACCCTCCATTGGGTTTTCAAAGGAAATAAACTGCATGAGTGAAGACTCCCCATCTTTCTCCCCCAGAGCTGCTGGTGGATTCGAACTGTCTGCCTTTATGTTGGTTTTTTTTTGTTTTTTATTTATTTTTTTTTCTGCCTTTATGTTGGCAGTGCAACTTCTAACTGCCAGAGCTAACCATAGTATATAGTGCACCTTTCTACAAACAGCAAGTTGATTAAGAACAACTATATATTTATTGTATATAGGGAGCTCTGGTGGCCTAGTGGTAAGAAGCTGTGCTGCAATCTCAAAGGCACACAATTCGAGTCCACCAGCTGCTCTGCAGAAGAAGGATGGGCAATCTTCTCCAGAAAGATTAACTTCCTCTGAAAATCTGCCAGGGGGTGAGCTATTGGTCAGTTCTGACTCTACAGTACACAATAACAACAATATATACTGTAAAAGAAATAATATATAATGTACCTTTTTATGCAGGAGACAAAAACATTAAAAAAACACTTCCATCCCATACCCCATGTGACCGGATTCCTCAAAAAACTTGTATCCTGGGCCACCTGCAGGATTCCAACAGCATCAGATGATTAAAGAGCCCGTAATAGCTGTGTGCAGTTTCATAAGGCCATTGTCTGCTTCCAAGAGACTCAAAGAAGTGCAAAGTCTCAAGGAAGCCAAGTAGGAGCCTTCCATTTTATCTTCCAATAAAACACTTTAATACAATAATATTTAGGGAGAATTGATGGCCTCATGAGTAAGGAATTTTGCTGTCAACACAACGGTAGGTGGTTCGAATCTGCCAGCTGCTCTGAGGGAGAAGATGGGCTATTTCCTCCCATGTAATTTACAGCCTCCAAAAAACCCGGTGAAGAGTGAGCTATGTGTCAGTTCTGACTCAACAGCAAGGAGGATGTTTTTTCTTCTCTATGAATAATGTTCAAAGGCACACTGCAAATGCAGTAGCATTCATCTTGTGTTACAAACTGTTGTAATTTTTTAAAATTTATTTCTTTTTAATTTCAATGCACAACTACAGAGATTTTGGAATTCCATTCATTCACTGTTGCAGTTTTGAATAGGTTACAGGGGTTGGATTGTGTATGGGTTGTATGTGAGTTGGATTTTGTCTGTCCTTAATGAGGACTGCCTGCCTAGTGCTCTTTCTGCATTAGCGGGGAACACAGCTGATGGACGTGTTTTCCTCCATGGACAAGCCTATGCTTGGTGTCACTCCCCCTGCCCGCCCACCAGCATGAGACATCGGAAGGAATATAATGTCTATTTTCCTCTTTAGGTCAAAATGTTCACAAAACAGACCAGAATGGTGACTCAAGTTTAAATAAAAGCCTCAGGTGGACACTGCAGTGCTGGACGTGGACATCAGGTATGACGTGCACTGGCAGGCACATTCTCCAGATCTGTAAGATGTGGTACATTCTGGTTGGAGGTTTAGTCTTTGTTGGTTTTGTTTGTTTGTTTTTAGGGTAAAAAAAAAAAGATTTTTCCTTTAAAAACTTTGGACAGTGCCTTCGTTCAAAAACTAAAGACAGTGTCTTGTCCTGAGTCTGCGAAATAACCACAATGACCTCTTTCTTGGGACCGCTCTCCACATGCCCCTAAGACCCTTGCTTGCTTGGGCCAGGCAGGGTTCTTTTCTGGTCCCCAACCAATCCCCAACTTTAGTCCCTACGCTTACATTCTTCTCTAAATCCACACAACAAATTCTGTTTTAACAAGTATTTGGGGACGTTGCAGTCAGTGGGAATCAGAGGGCTCCTACTTGGCTTCCTTGAGACTTTGCACTTCTTTGAGTCTCTTGGAAGCAGACGATGCCCTTATGAAACTGCACACAGCTATTATGGGCTCTTTAATCATCTGATGCTGTTGGAATCCTGCAGCTGGCCCAGGGTACTAGTTTTTTGGAGGAATCCGGTCACATGGGGTATGACCGCGCCTGATCCTTCTTTTCCCTTAAAATCCTCTTTGGCGTTGCCTAGAATGCCAGCTCAGGAATGGGCTAGGCCATACAATGTGAGGATACCAGAATCTCCTCCAAGAATGTCCTTGACTGGCTAAGGGTCCCCAGAACACTCTGGGGAGAGGGGTTGGCTGGTTGTTCAAGAGGCAGCTCTAGCCCAGGCACCACCCACTTGCCAAACTCAAGGCTCTCTTTGTTGTTTCCCATATTAGGTAATTCTGATTTTATTTTCCAATAGAGCCACGTGATGCTAGGTCTTCTCCCATCGCCTATGATACATTTCTAGGAACTGAATTATCTCTCACATTAGTGAAGAGTCACCAACAATACAGGCTCCTTTTGTTCCTGGATGTTAAGAATTGCAGTGGTAGCAATACCTCTGCCCTCCGCCCTACCACCTTCATCTGTCAGGCACTTCCTTCCCCAGGGCAACCTAGAAGGTAGATACCACTCAAGTCAAACACAGCTCTGTCTGCAGATCTATTTATATTTACAATCCCACTGTGATTCTTACAGCATCCCTCTGTGCATAATCTTGGCTGCTTACACTTGCCAGACATCAAATTACTTTCAATCACTTATTTGGTTTAAGCAATAATGTCAGTTTGGGGGCCTCCCTTCCGCCATCTTTATCTCTGGCCCTTGCATCCACACCCTGTGTTGAAAAGACCAAGTCCGTTGACTTGATAGCCTTTCTCTCCATCAGAGATCTCAAGGAAAGGTGGGCCAAATCATAGAAAATGAATGAGAAGAAACATTTTCAATAAGAAAAATCTCACGAAATGGAATTATCTAACCCCACAGAGCCTCAGGGGGGCCCTTTCTCTTGATGTGATAAGGGTCCCAGTGACACAAAGTCAGGAGTTGTGATGGCACATTAGACTGTAACTGATAACTCTGGGGGGTGGGGGGAATGTGACCTGGGAATGGTTCATGGTTGTGGGGAAACGATCCTGTGTTCTCTGCCAAGGTCATCGAGAGGCTGAACTAGCCGCCATCCAGTTCAGGCTTGTACGAGGACCTCATCCAGCGTGCCACCTGCCCTACAAGACTTTAAACTGAGGTGATGTTCTCCCTCCCCCATCAGCAGCTTCCACCTATATCTCCAGCTTTATTCTGATATTCAATATTCTTGCACAAGCCAAACAACATATTCTCAGGCCAGTTCTTTCTGTAAGGCATTTCAAGGCCCAAGAGAGGAACAAGAAAAGCCATTCCTCCCTCTCTGCCCTCTCAACCCCCTTCATCCCAGCTTGGTTTGTGTGTGGATAGGGCGCAGGGAATGAAGGGATGCCACGGAATCTGGAGTCACATGCTTCTCGCATGGAGAGTGATGGGCTCCAGCAGCATGACCCGACAATCTGTTTTCCTAGTTCCCACTCCTAATGACTCTGGCATACACAGGTGGGAGTGGCAAACTTCCAGAAGCCACAACCCAAATGTTTTGGGCAGAGGTAATTGAAGCTGCGATTGTTCTGTAGCACCACAGGCTGGAATGGATCTGCATTGTGACGTCTGAGCCAGAGGAAGTGGGGTAACCTCAGGGAGAGCACGTGTGCCTGATATTTACAGCATCTATGTTACCTGGAAAAAAACAACTTTTCAAAATCAGAACTGAAAATGACCCCACCCCCTGGGAATTTTCTTCTTTGTCCAGACATTCGAACACCCAGGGAGATTCAGAGTATGCCATCTGCTTGTTTATACAAAGTGCATTTTTTTGTTTTTATTTATCTATTTTTTAAAATGGTGAAAATATACCCAGCCAAAGATACACAACGATTTCAACAATTGTTGAAATTTCACACAAAGATTTCAACAGTTTCTACGTGGACACTGGTTACATGTTTCGTGTGGTGTACCCTCCTTCCCCACACTATCCTCCCACCCCCCCATCATCTTGAGCACAGAGCTCCTAAGCTTCCCATCCATACTTCTGAGGTGCTGTGGTCAATGTGACCTCACACAGAAGTCAGATTTCTTTAAAGGCACTCAAGGCTCAAATCAGAAATACTTACTAGTTAAGATAAGCTCTTTTTTTAGGGTCCAAATACTTCTTTGTTGTTGTGTGCCGCTGAGTTGGAATCAACCCACAGTTAACCCTCCATCGGGTTCTCAGAGCCAGTAAATCACATGGGAAGAGATCACCCATTTCCTGTGGAGCAACTGGTGGATTTGAACTGTGGGTCTTCAGGATAGCAGCATAGATTCTTAATCACTAGGCCACCAGAGCTAGCTTAAAGTTTAAAATTTGTCCCACGGGGCTCATCCAGCCTCAGTGGCTCCAGAAAGTTTGGATTCCAAGGAGAATTTGAAATTCAAGTCCATATTCCATCCCTCTTTTGACCAAGATTCTTCTATCTTTGATGAAAATATTCTGTGTTGTAGCTGGGAATCATCAAGTTCTTTTGGTTTCAGGGCAAAGGAGGAAGTTGTTCATGAAAGCTGCCAAACTCTACAGAGGAGCATCTCGTCCTTCACCAAATATACAACCCACTGTTCTACCATCTTCAATCATGCTCTGGGCCCCACACATCAAGCTTCACTGTGATTTCATTCTCTTGGAGTGCCTGGATTCTCAAACTTACTCTTTGGATTGAATCCCTCTCTTTCTTCTTCCCTCATTTGTCTGGTCTCTCCCATCAGACTGAGTCTTTTGAGAAAATGGAACCAAATACCTTTGTATCCCTAGGGTATGTTCAGAGACGGTGCCTTATAATAACTGAGCAGATGACTAATAGTTGCATCCTACTCCCTTGTCCTGTCATTTCAGCTTCCCATCAGAAGCCTTTACTTCCGTGTCCCTCTCCCTTGCTAGTCTGCAAGCAGCTGGGGGACTGAATCCTTGATCTTATTTGTTTTTGTTGATTTTTAGGTGCTGCTGAGTCAGTTCCAACTCTTAATGACCCATCTTCACAATCATTGCTATGTTTGAGCCCAATGTTGCAGCAATTGTATCACTCTACCTTATACAGCATTTTCTATCTTTTTCGATGACCCTCTAGCATGCCTATTGTATTTCTCCAGGAGCAGGTCCCAAGTTTAACATCTCTCAAAGCAGAGTGATTTGCATGGATTAGGAACTCAGTATAGGCTTATGAATCTATTGAACAAATATGTTACCTAGTTTAAGTCTCTCTCGGGCAAACTCCCATTTGCTGGCATCGTAAGGGAGCCGGTCACACTGCTCATCCAGTGGTACTTCATCTGGATCCATTATAATTGATAAGTAGTCAGTCTTTATTTCAGGAGGAGACTACGAAAGAAAAAGAGATCTTAAAGTTATCAACAAGGCAAACTCTGAACACACCAGATGTCCAATTCAGAACAATACTGGCAACATTTGCTTTGAGTGTGTCATTTGTTTGAAGCTGTGTGGGCAGGTACAAAAATGACTCCTTCCCATACACCTCCACATGCATACAATGCCCATTAAGCAGCTCCATACAATTCCCACATTTCTGTAGAACCAAACCCACCACCCTCTCAGATGAAATGCCCTCAGATTCTCCAGTGGCATCCTAGCCACGCTGTCCTTAAACAATGGCCACATGATAGCCTCTCTCAAAAAGAAAAAATGCAAAGCATTTCTCAAAATCATTCCAAATGGTGACTAAAAATAACTTTCCACGACCATTCTCTGCAAGTCAGAATATACATAACAGATGGGCCCCCACTGTCCCGATTGTATTTTTTCTACATCCTCAAGAAAGGTCTGACACACAGTCAACTCAGGATCTCTGGGAAGAATGTGAGGCTCATTTTGCATGTGTTTATTCAAAAGGCCTGACCTCTTTCGTGGCTGCAGCTACTTGAAAAGATCAAGGGAGCTCTGGTGACCTAGTAGCAAGAACCTGTGTTGCAAATCTTGCAGGCACATGGTTTTGAATCCCCCAGATCATACACTGGAGGAGGGGCAATCTCCTCCTGTGCTAGTTGGATCTGATTTGATGATACAAAACAGGAAGAAAAAATAAATACAGAAAATAAGAGAGATCAGCAGGCCCTTAGTGAAATGAGGATGAGATCTTCCTTCAGTGAGAAATTGAAGCAGTTTTTCAAGGAGTAGATTAACAGAGTTGCATTTTGAGTTAGCTGGGCACTGGAACAACAGCAGATAAGTAAGGTGGGCGTGTGCCTTGAAGGACTTTATCTTGTCATCTAGTCCAAGTCCAGAAAATGGCTTTTATTTCAGATCACAGCTAGCATGACACAGTGTCTTCACTGCATATCAACAGGTCTACTTCCTTCTAATTACATATTCATTTGATGACTGCATTTCTGTGGTCAAAATCTTGGCCAGGACAGCAGGGAAGGAAGCTTGCCATGTAAGTGGATTTGGCTAGCTCTTGCCTAGAGTTGTGTCTGGTTCATTTCAATGGGTTGGAAACTGTGTGGTGCCTTACCCAGGGCAGGGTTAGAGTTCGAGGAGAGAAGACAACCCCTTCATAGGCATGTCTTACATGCAGACACATTCTTCAGCCTTTACTCACCCCACTCTGGCTGTCACTGCTCACCTCATCCATCACTGGCAATTGTTCCCCTTTACATAGAAATTATCGCTAAAATGTGTGACAAATCGCCCTAGGCAGAAAGGCTTGCCTGGCCTCCACAGAGGGTGGCAACAAAGGAAGAGGCAGAGCACATCTGTCACAATCTATGCTTGACTGTGTTTGACGTTGGGGAGATGATTGAGCTCAGTCTGTCTGCCTCTTGGGCAGGTCTGTAAAGCACAGAGGAATCCACACTCTTGTAAGATGGTGCTGGGCTTTTATCAGAGATGATGCTGGAGTTGGTTTATAACTGAACTTTCCAATGTCCCATGTAGACAAGGCCACACAAAGCAATCCCCTATCCTCAAAGAACTCAGGATAGCTGAGGCCAAGCAAGGGACATCTCAGCTTTCAGCAGGGTGGGTGGGAGGTTGGCAGCTGTGTTGATAGAGGTGCGGGCAAGGCATGGAAATGAGTCTCCCCACCCATGAAGCACCTATGGAGCTTGATGGTTTATCTCAAGTGAGAGTAAACACCCATGAAACCTTAAGTTGGGGCTTTGAGGAGAGTATGATAGTAGAAACTTAGCTGACAAATATTTATTTTCCAATTGACACTAACACTGAGCAGCTACTGATGCTGAGCCTGGGGCCTCCTAGCTAAGGGCTTGAGAGCATGTGAGTCACGGCTCAGCTTCTGGCCGGTGCGTAACCTCTGGTGAGGGACTTAACCCCTCTAGCGTCCTTATCTGTGGAGAAGTGATAATGGTGGCACTATCTCACACTCAGGGTTGTTGGGAGTATCAAGTGAAAAAATATATTGATTGCTGTCAGAAAAGGGCCTGGAGGAGAGTAAGCAGCGATGTGAGCTCAGGTTGGAACACGGCCCCGTGCAAACTGGGACCCAAACCAGAAAATGTAGTTGGATCAAGAGGACTGTGAGGAAGTTTTCTTGAGGTTAGAGAAACCACATGGATAGGTTTCTGATACCTTGTTTTCTTGTTCCCCACAACCAAGCTCTTGTAAAATTTTATAGCATTCTAGCATTATATTATCCTTTGCCTTCCTCCTTGCTTATCAACTGCAAAAATTCACAATTTAGACCTACATTGCACCCACATTTCTTTCCAGAAGCACTGCTAGCTAACTGTAAGGTCAGAGGCTGGAACCCATCAGCTGCTACGATAAGGGAGGCGTGAGGTCAGGGGTGCTGGTTCTCACTATAATGACCACGAGCACTCTACAAGGAAATACTGCCCCTTTCCTTCTCTCGCAAGTTTCTACCTTACTCAGAGGATGTGTTTATAGCAGATTGTTATTAAGTAGCTCCAGTGGACAAGTGGTAAGGAGCTGCGCTGCCAACCCAAAGGTACATGGTTTGAATCCACAGGTTGCTCCGTAGGAGAAAGGCAGGAAATCTCCCATGAAGCTATGTGTAGCTTCTGAAAATCCGCTGGAGGGTTAGCTATGAGTTGGTTCCAACTTAATGGCATATAACAACAATATGTATCTATTTAACTCAAACTCATTGCTTTCGAGTGAGACGTGACTCACAGCTGACCTTCCAGAAGGCTTTCAGAGGCTGTAAACGGCACAGGAGGAAACTGCCCGTCTTTCCCCCAAGGAATGACTGATGGATTCAAAATGCCAGAGTGGTGTGGCCTTTGGGTTAGCCAGTATAACTCCCTGTGGGACTACACCATCGGAGCTCATTAGATCTCTATATATCGATCTGTATGTCTTTTTAATAAAATATTGTTGTTGTTACGTGCCACTGAGTCAGAAATGACTCCTAGTTGACCCTCCAGCATGTTTTGAGAGGTTGTAAATCACACAGGAGAAGGCTGCTCATCCGCCTCCCAAGGGGCAGCTCGTGTTGATTCAGACTGCATGTCTTTGGGCTGGTGGGGCAGTGCCTCACCACTGCACCACTAGAGCTCACTAAGAACACACACAGATTTTAAGAAAAAAACCATTTATTTAATAAGATATATATTCTTAATCAGTCTCTGAGATAGACTCATCTGTTCATCAATGCAAACGGCTTTTGAATGCTCTACTCTGTGGGAGAGAGGCATCTAAATGGTTCATTTTCAGTGTTTTCCAGCTCAGAGATTAGGAAAGAGATAAGACTTGGCATCTATTCTGAGATCAGATCTGGCAGTTTCAAACACCACACCCAAAGGGGCCTAACCTTAACCTTAACCTGATATGCTCTTACCCTTTTCAGTTTTCGGATAAAGAGGGTTAGCAGGAGCCAGAAGAGGGTTGCTGCCACACAGGTGCACGTCAGAGTGATCAGCTCCAGGTTAGACTTGTCCGAGGTTCCTGGAGAGAGAGAGAGAGATGGGGATGTAAAGGAATCTCCAACCAACGGTCACTGTGGTTTTCAGAACAGATCCAGTACCCAAAACACCAAACCCAACCCACTACCATCACATCAGTTCCCACTCATAGCAACCATGCACGACCGAGAACCGCTGCATAGGGTTTCCAAGGCTGTCATCTTTATAGAATGGAGGTCTGGTGGCCTGGTGGTAAGGAACTGCACCAACCTGAAGGCACACGGTTCGAATCCACAGCTTTTATGTGGTAGAAGGAGGAGCAGTCTCTTTCTGTGTGATTTACTGCCTCTGAAAACCTACAGGAGGGTCTGCAGTGAGTTGGAGCTGACTCCATGGCACACAATAACAATCTTGATAAAGCAGACACTTCTTGCTCTTGCTCTTTGGGGTGGGCTTGAACTACCGGCCCTTTGGTAAACAACAAAGCACTTGACTCACTTCATAACTAGGGCTCTTATTTGCAAACAACTGCTGGCAAGTCTATCTTGATTCGTAGAGATCCTGTAGGCCTGAGTAGACCTATCCCACTGGGTTTCCAAGGCTATAACCGACTATGGAAATACACTAATTCACCTCTCTCCTGCAGTTCAAATCCTGCTGGTAGATTTGAATCATCAACCTTCGGGTTAGTAGCCAAGTTCTGAACTCGCTGTGCCACCTGTTGTTGTGTGACATCAAGTTGGAACCGACTCACAGTCCAGTGGGTTTTCAAAGGCAGTAAATCACACAGGAGAAAAGAGCCTATTGTTCTCCCGGGGAGCAGCTGGTGGATTCGAACCCCTGTGCCTCCAGTGTCCTAAATGGATCCTGAGTGGCAAATTTACTCAGCTAGCCATGAGAATTTATCTTATGATGCTAGTCTTCTTCATGCTCTGTGTCAGCCAGGCCCACACCTGCCATGACATGGTGTTGTCACAACACACACACACACACACACACACAAAGTGAAGGTGTTTCCAGAAACATCTGCAAAGTGTGTGACTCCAAAACCAAATCCAACCCATGGTCATTGAGTTGAATCTCACTAATGGGAACCCTGGACAGCACAGGGGCACTGCCCTGTCGGGCCTCTGAAGCTGCATATCTCTGTGGAAGATGACTGTCTCGTCTTTCTCTCATGGAGGGGCTGGTGAATTTGAACGACCAACCCTGTGCTTAGTAGCTGAATGCTATGACCATGAGCCACCATCCCAGAGATAGTTAATAAGCCTGAGGGCACAGCTGAAAATGGGGGAAGCAATGAAGGCAGAAACAAAAGCTCATTAAAGTGCTAAATCTGGGCTTCGTTAAATCTCCTTTGTGGGTCTTTAGAGGAAATTCTAAAGTAAAAGGGGGTGTGTGTGAAAGGCAGAAAGGACTCCTTTGGGACTCACAAAACTCTTCAAAGTAGATTATAAAAATACAAATATGAATAAAGGATCGTCACAGCTGTCCCCTTCACTGCTTTTGGAAAGGTCCAGCCCAAAGCACCCACTTCCCACCCTGTGTCCTTGTCTGTAATTCCCACCTTTGAGCAGGGAGCTGGTGAGGGGTTGAGGCAGGAGCTGATGGACACAGAGACTGTTCCCCTTTTTCCCAGAATCCCCAAGATCACAAGCTGAGTACTGTTGCCCCACCACTGAGAGAAGACCCAAAGTCGTCAAGGGGTTCCTCCAGGAAGGAGACTGGGGTTTGAAGACGAATAACACGGTGGCCACATAACCCAGAAATCATAACAGTGTTTTCCTTAACTGGCTCCAGGGAGGGTAACTTTCCAAGAATTTTCAAGGCATGTCCTTATTCTTTAATTTTATTAAGAGGAGTCAGAAGCTCAGTATTAGGTCAGACCATGATCAAGCAAAGCTTTCTAGAAGTGATGTGGTCCTCTGCAGCACACTTTGTGATGTGCCATGTGTTCACACACAGGTTAGGAGGTAGCCAGTGACAGGAGATCCATGACGTGGATGGAGACTGCATCATGGAAGCTCTGTGATTCAGTTCAATAAAGAGGTACTGAGTCGCTACTACAGATAAGGTGGGGCACTGCAGGAGACAGGAAGGGGAGCAAGAGAAGGCTTGCACCCTCAGGGAGCAAATTCAGCATCTACCCAAGTGACCCGGGCCAGTGCAAGGCAACTAGAGAAGTTCAGGGAAATAAGGGCCTTTGAGCAGGGAGAATTTAAAACAGATTATGATCAGCGGAGAAGAAGGTTGAAAAAGGCATGACAGGCAGTGGGAAGAGCACGAGTGAAGAGCAAGTGGTGGGAAATCATAGAGCAAGATGTGGAAAGGGACCAGACCACAGAGGATGCTGAGGTCTGGGTGACTGGTGTGAACGAAATGTGGCTGCAGACAGTGGGAACCAATGAAATGTCCTTGTTCTCATCATTAAAAAGCTAACTACCGTAGAGTCAACTCAGCTGGATCCAGTGACTCAAAGCAGAGCTGCCCAGAGGTGTTTCCAAAGCTGTTCAACTTCATATGTTCCCTTGTGGGGTTATGATGGAGTTTCCCCAAACCTCATCATTTGTTAGGTGCCATCGAGTCAACTCTAACAGTGACTCTACATACAACAGAGCGAACCCCTATCCAATCCCTCGCCTTCCTCACCACCTCTCCTGTGCCCACTGCTGTAGTCACTGTGTCCACACATCTCACAACTCTGCCTGCTGCAAGCAAAGAGGACTTGAGAAACTTACTGAAGAAGACTGAAGACTACAGCCTTCAGTATGGATTACCTCAACATAAAACAAAAAATCCAGGGAGCTCTAGTGGCCTAGTGGCAAGAAGCTGCACTGCAATACCAGAGGTGCATAGTTCCAATCCACCAGATGCTCTGCTGGAGAAGGAGGGGCAATCTCCTCCTGTACCAGTCAGATCTGATTTGACAGTACACCCACACAAATAATAATAAAAGAAAATAAGAACAAAAAATGCTCACAACTGGGTTAATAATATCAAGATAAATGAAGAAAAAGAAGTTGCAAATGATTTTATTTTGCTTAGATCCACAGTCAACACCCATAGAGGCAGTAGTCAAGAAATCAAATGATGATGTGTTGCATTGGGCAGGCCTTCTGCCAAGGGCCTCTTAAAGTGCTAATGAGCAAAGGTGTCAGTTTAAAGACTAATGTGCACCTGACCTAGACACTGGTCAGAAGTAAGTATCCTCATCATGGGAATATTGTAAACTTAGATTAATACCAGGAGTCTGGATTTTCTCTGCAGCAGTGGAAGAAGGTCTAACGCTGCCTGCTGTGCACGCTCACCCAATTCCCCATCCCACCCCAACCCCTATCCTTGCTCAGGCTGCAAGCGCACATTGTGGAATGTGGTTGGGACCTGCTGAGGGGCACAGTGGCCTTCAGTAGCTGGAGATGCTAATAGAGATCACAAGACGGGGCACTGTCTGCAGAAACCCTCTGCGGATGCCTCCCTCACGGAATGTCCTGAGAGAGGCCCCCTCTCGGATTGTGGGAACTTTCCCGCTGCATTCCACGGGCAGGAAGCTGACCCCCAAGGTCTAATTCCACAGGCCTGACTCAGGCAGCATTCCTTTCAGTGGGACCCAATGTTTGTGTGCAAAAGCTTACCCACTTGAGGAACCACATTACACATTTCAGAAACATCTTCAAGAGGAAAATATGTTAGGGGGACAAGACACAGGAACATACTAGTCTACTGATAACGAAAATAGACATTTTTAAAGAGTTCATAATGTACTCACCAAAGATCCCTAGTGTTGTGGTGGTTTAAGAGCCAACCAAAAGGCTGGTGGCTTGGACACACCAAACACGACACAGGATAAAGATGAGGTAGTTTGCTCGTGTAAAGACTGCAGCCTCAGAAACCTTCAGGGTCAGTTCTACAGGGTGGTAATGGGTCAGAACTGGCTTGATCGCTGTGCACATTGGGTAGAGGTACTCTCTATGCTCTGTCTGATGTAAATATTTCTAAATTGTAATTCTGGTGGAAATATACACAGCAGAACACACACTCATTCCTAAGCTTCAGCTTGCACAAGTCTGTAATACTGGTTACATGTTCTTATGCAGTGTTATTCTCACGATCGCTACCCATGCTATTTCACTCCCATTGACTTTGATCCACTGACTTTTCAACTTCTCCTCTGTGCTTCTGCGTTACTACTGACAATCTGCTCTCATATAAGTAATTTTCTAAAGGTGCACAATATTCGTGCTCAACAGTCTTTACTACTTCAGCTAAAGAGGTTAAAGAAGACTCTAGGGGATAATTTTGGTTCAGGATCTTGAAGGTTTTCTCACACCATTGATTTGGAGCTTTCTGCAGTCTGAGTGGATTAAGTAAGGCTGTATTCTGTAAGGATTTTAAATTATTTCCCCTTTTGATTATGATTCTGCCAATGATTCCTTGATGAAAATTCAATGATGGTAGCTGGGCACCATGAGTTCTTCTGCTCTTTATTATTAAGGAGCTGTTCCAGTGGGAATTGGCACATCTGAAAGCTGGAACCATCTTTAACCACTTTGCTTTTTGCTTCTGTATTTGAGGCATCAGAGTAAGGTGATGAAGAGGATTTTGATTTGGAAGTAACTGTACCTCTTTTTGGAAAAAATTAAACAGAATAATGCATGCTTAGACCAGTGTGCCACTAAACATGCACTGTTACATGGTCAGGGCTTCGAGCGAAGCAATACTAGCCTACTGGTCACTTCATTCACTCCCCAGGTAATTTTATGACAGTCTTGTTTCTACATTCCAGTCACCAATTATCATTAATGAATCTTGGTTGCATATGTAATCGATTTCAGACTGCAAAACTTGTAATACATCTTCTATTTCCTCCTCCTTAGTTTTAATTGTTGGTGTGCATATTTGAATGATAGTGTTTTTCTTGTATGCATACAAAAGTGTCCTGTCACTCACAATTTTGTACTTCAGGATGGATCTAGAAATGACCTTTTTTACTATGAATGTAATGCCATTTTTCTTCACTTTTTTGTTGCCAGCATAGTAGATCAC